GCTAAGGCAAACACGCATCTTGCAGCTGAGCATTTGGCTAATTGATGTGACAAAGTTTAAGCAAATATCAAAAGAACATTTACCTGTGTGTGTTTGTGTGTGCTCGTGCTAAATTGCAATTGCTCTGAGGCATTTTGGCAAAGAAAAACCAAAATAAAAGTAACAGTTTAACTAAACTTTTTAGTGCTTTAGGCCAGATGCTCTAATTCACTTAGCAGCAGCAACTAAAAACTTGTCAAAGTTAAAAATATTCAGAGAAAATGTCAAGAAAACTGCTGGCAACAGCAACAAATTGCGATATAAAACCTGAGCATGAAAATGTCAACAAAAATGAAAGCTGACAACGGCTAAAATATGCCAAGGTGTGTGTGTGTGTGTAAGTGAAGGGGAAAGGGGCTGCAACACGTGCAGTCAATTTAGTGTTAAGAAAAAATAACAACAATAACAAACTTTTGGGCTATTATTAAATTTGCGAGAGCCCAACTAAAACCTAACATGCCAGCTGCGACAGCCACGCCCAACGCCTTTCAGCAGCTTGCCACAGATAGAGCAGAAGAGCTGAAGGTGAGGGTGGGGGGTAAGGCATTTGAATAATTACTAAAGTTGACTGCTGTAAGCGTGAGGGAGCGGTAGGGGGGTGGGAGGTGGAGAGAGAGGTGAAGAGACATGTTATGCTGGCTGGCGATTTATGTGTCTCCAGAGCTGCAATTTTTAGCAGCTTACCAAATGCAATACACAGGTGCATAACACACACACTCATGTGTGTGTGTGTGTGTGTGTGTGAGTGTGTTGTGCTGCGCTTAAAAGACGTGTGAATTTATGCACTGAGATGCATCTTAAGTGAATTAAATTCCCCAAGCAAACAGACAAAAAAACACCAACAAAATAACAGCCGCAGTTGGTGAATGTTGCATCAACATGCGGCGGCAACATGTGCCCAGATTGCCAGCGCAACATGTGCAACATTTTTAGGCAGGGGCAAACTTTTTGTTAGGGTTGCAACCGGCTGCTGGCAAACAGCCAATGGCCGCAAAGCCTAGAGATAAAATCTAAGCAAAAAAAAAAAAAAAAAAAAAAAAATGAAATTGATGGCATTGCTGCTGCCGCTGCTGTTCACAATAATAATAACAATCATCATGATGAAGCTAAAGATGATGATGATGTGGATGATGCTGATGATGTTGTGTGTAACAACCCTGCAGCCGCAACCCTGGCCAAGGCAAGCCTAAACCAATTTGGCACGCGAAAATTTCATTACAGCCGGCAAATTTAATAAACCAACAAGCGGCAAAGGGGCCCAAGAAAAATGCGTAAGGAAAAACGGCTGGCAATGAAACACGAGCAACAGCAACAACAACCCCGAAAAATTGTCAGGGTTGTCACGGCGCAGTGTTGCGTGCTGTCCGCAAAACAAATGTAAAATTTCACACAGCCGAAACGGCCATTTTTGTTCTTCAAAAAACAAATACAAAAAAACAAGAAAAAAACACGTAGGGGTTGCATTAGTTTTTTATTGGGTTATGAAATAAAATAGAAGCCGCAACGCACATATTTCGGCTAAATGTTTGAAATATTTCTGCATAATATTTGCATCGCCATTTTTGATTTATGCCGCACGGCAAATGAAAATTTATGGCGTTTCCCAATGTTAGCTGCGGCCATTAAAAATGTAAGCTACGATTTTTATGCCCCAGTGAAGGGTATTATAATCATGGCGTGAAATGTGTAACGCATTAAAAAATACTATCCGATATATTTTAGATCAACAGTCGAGGTTTGGTCCGTAGATCTCATTCGGAATATCGTAGCTGGTCGGATTAGACCACTATATAATGTAGCTGCTACAGAAACTCGACTGATCCTCAAGTTCTTAATATATATATAAAATCTTAGCAACATCAGATTTACTTAATATATTGCTGCTTGCAGAACGATCGGTCGAATAGTAGGTTCTTATATGGCAAACTATTCTGTTTTCCAAGTTATTTTTATCAAACTCAGCATTTACGAGCTTCACAAATGGCAATTGTCTGCAAGAGTATTAAATCTTCGATGTGCTAAGGACATCCTGACTAGTTTTTTATGTAATGGTTCACACACACACACACACTCGCACACACACACAGCAATTAGTGGCATAAATGTGCTGTTTCTTGTGGGTAGCTAAAATTCGTCTATTATTTGGTGTATAGCCCTGGCTCGGGTTATGTGCCATAAAAACGAAATTCCACAAATTCAATCAGCCGCACAAATCACTTCCTCAATTGAAGCCGCAGCTCAGCACATGCCACATGCCACCACATAGTCAGCCCCCCTCGGCCCATTTGATGCCCCCCGCGTACTGTCAGCAAACATTCAGAAGCTATTTAAAATTCCATATGGCCTCACTAAATCACACGCTGCGAATAGAAGCTAGCCAAAAATATTTTGAATTGACATCATCAGCGAGCTGTCAGCGACAGGTGAGAAAAGCTATCGGAAATAGCAGTTAAATATTTGAATGCCACGCCCACACAAACACACGTACACAGACACAGCCACACATGCCCGCCCAAAAGTGCTGAAAAATGCATGAGGCGTCGGCGACTTCATTAGTTTGATTGTTGTTGGGCGTTTGCCGGCAAATGGGCGGCTGAGTGGGCGGTTGAGTGGGTGGCTGGGCGCTGTGCATAAAGGACCTGTTAACCGCAAATGCAGCAAGTAAAACCCGCTCATAGTTTATTGACAGCAACAACAACCAAATAAATGATATAAAAAACGAGAATCGCGAATGTAAAATATTTTCAAGCACATTTATTTGGCTAGTTGCTGAAATTCTTTTGGCTTAAAATGTAAATAACGTAATTTGTAATGAAAGCTGGCTCACACACTCACACACACACACACACTTTGGCGCCCAGACAAAAGTTCCTGCTATACACATCCTCGCACACACACACACACACACAGTAATGGATTTACGCAATGCTTGCGGAATTGTATAAATTCCTTTGGCTGCGAATACCCTGTAGGGAAAGGATAAGACAGTAGACTTAAAATTCACAAAATATGCTCTCAATAAAAATATATATTTTAAATTATATTAATACTTTAAGAAATGTTTTAAAGCTCAACAAAAGCTGTACTTCAAAACAGGAAAGACAGCTTATATGGAAAATTGTCTGCTATGAACTTATTAAAAGTCGCATTAAGCTTAAACAACAAGCTTTTAACTTCAACAAAGCTTAGACTATACTTAAAGCTTTAGCAAATCTTTGCTTTAAACGAGAAATATTCTAGCTTGACTTTTTCTTCTAAGACTGGTTTAACATAAGCCTAACCAGCTCATAGGGTATCTCGCAGTCTAGCCTTTTGACTTCTTAGCTATTGTTTAATATTTGTCCTGTGCCTATTTTATGAAATATTTCATATTGGCACTCTAAAGCTTCGATAGTAAGGTGGATTCACAGTTTCTGCTCTGACAGCGACGAAGGGCAATAAAAATTCCGCAATGGCGTTAGCTGCGCACACATTCACATATACACACACACTGGCACACATACAGACACACACAGGCACCCAAACACTCGCGTGAATTTGCGGCGCGTATTTGCATCCAAACAATGTCGCACACGCGGAGTTGGTCAAAGTGAAATGCAATAAAAGAAAATTAAATGCACAGAATTTCGCGCCAACACACACACACACACACACACATGCAAACGTATGTGTGCCAGTGTGTTTAATTGTGTGTGTGTGTGTGTTTGTTTTTGCTTATATTTATTTATATTTATGCTATTATTTACATACGCAAGTCGCATTCATTTTTATAAGCCAAACTGCAGCTCAGCGTGTCGGCTGTGCTCTCAGCTCGGTGCTAAATTGTATTACTGCACGCGATTCCCCTGAAAGCCATTAACAGAGACAGCAACAACAGTAACAGCAGCAGCAACAGCAGCAGCCACAGCCAGAGTAACTATAACAGAGACCAAAACAGTAACTCACTAACTCAACTGGGCAAAATATACTATATACCATTTGCCAACGCCCATCGACCATAGTTCATTCACTCAGAGAAAATTATCACAAAGTTTGCATTCAAATAAAAAAAATTAAAAAAAAACATTTTTTTTAATTAATTAAAATATTTATTACATTAAGCTAAGAACGATAGAAATATATTAAAAAAAAAAAACAATTTTAAAAAGTTATATTCGAGACAAAAACCCAAGGTTTATACTCAAAATCTCAAACTGAGAACAAAATAAATATTTCAATAATAAACTCAAGTCAAGTGAAAATTTCTAGCTAAGAGCAAAATATATGTTTCGATAATATTTTTGAGTTGAAAAAAGAACAAAATCTTCTCTTTTTGAGTATGCAAATTCCTAAATTAAAGTAGAGTGAGTAGAAACTCAAGCTAAACACTTTTCCCAAATTTTTCAATAAAGGGTCTTTACTGTGATCACCCTCAGAAATATTGAAGTTTTAAGTATGCAATTTCTTTAAGTAAGTAATAAACCTTTTTAAATTATTTTCTAAACATTTAGTTTCGTTTATCAAATCGATTACAAAACAGTGTTGTGTTCGGATGATGTTTTTCGCTGAGTGCATTATTGCCCATAGACCATATCCATGCATACTAACGCACATATTTGTATGTAGACATGAGTTAGCGGCCATAATAAGCCATGCCAAAAAAGCAAAACAGCCCCTGGCTCCTAGCCCAGGCCAGTTCCCTACCAACCCTCGGAACTAGCCCCATGCCTCCGCAGAGCAGCCGCAAAAAGTTTCTACTTCCAGGCTAGGGAGAGTATGGAGCAGTGGCTCGCTGGCTGCCTGGAATGTGACCCACAGTAATTAGTGTAATAAGCCTCAATGTGCACACACATGCTTGTCTGTATATCCACATACATATATATATATATATATATATATATATGTATCACACAATGTGTGTGTGTCTAGGCAAACTAAAGCCTTTGCATCAGTCTCCATGCTGCCATTTTGTGTGGCAGCCAAAAAAGTCAAAATCCAAACGGAATTGAACCTTGCAAAAGTTTTTCTATTTTTTTGTTTCTTTGTTTAATTTGTGGATATGTGATTTGGGCAGATAACTTTCAAACCCAGCTACATTTATCATCTTTTTGTGCAGTTGGCGTTTGTCAAATGGGTGTGGGCAAGTTTAAAGAACTTATTGCCCAGTTAAATGCCACAAATACTAAATAATTTCAACCAAAAGCTGATTTCTAAACAAAAGTTGGAAACAAAAATATGCTAAGCACATTTACACATACTTTATTATATAATTCCCAAGTGGTTTTGGCAGGTAAAGTTTTCATATGCAAAATGTCACAAAATTCTCAATAATCAATTAACAACAAATATATAAATATTACATTAACACCAACAAATTGGCACAAAAGCTGATTTAAAATCACTTCTCTTATAATTCTTAAATGCAGTCGTAGGTCCATTCAACTTTGATTTATCAGTCTTAATTAACCTAATGTCAAGTTGGTGTCAACATAACTAATTAAATATTGCTTTCTTTTACTTACAGGTAATTAAAACCCCACCAATTGATAATGGCCAATAAACCACAACACAGCCTAATTTATAAGTGTTTTGTCATGGAGCCCAACCTCTGGCACGCCTCCAATTAGTCGCGCATTAGACTTCAAGGGCAGGCAACAAAAATTATTATCGATGGCAATTGCTTAGTCAAGAAAGGGTCTTAAGGGGCCTATTGAGTTAAATGGCCATCAAAGGCTGCTTTGGAGCCAGCTGCACCGCAGTTGCGGCTCCTGTTGTGCTCGTGATGGTCGTGACACGGCAACTGCTGCTGCTGCAGAGTCACTTGGCCCCTGCTCTGCCTTGCCGCGAGGAGCCCTTGACTGCGACCCCGCTGCTCATCAGCCCTGCACAAAGGGCTACTTGTGGTCGGCTCTTTCATAAAAGTTAAAATGCAAATACAATTTGCCACTTAAAATCAGCATAAATTGAAGCATGCCTCGTGTGAGGGAGGGGTAGGTAAGTGTACGGGCAATTGCAGGCAGACGCTGTGCGGCGGGTAGGTGAGACCGGGAGGGTCCAATCGTTTCGCATTCGAGAGGCACTTCAAACAATTTACAACAAAAACGGAGGCAAGCAGCAGGAGACAAGTGGAAAGTCGGCAAAATAAAAAATCAAACTCAACGAACATGAACAGAAAAATAAAACAAACTCAAACTAAATAAAAGCAGAGCTTGTGGGAAATTACGGAAATGAAAATTCTATGCAAAAGGTTTTCAAAAGAACAAGAAAAATGTGTGCAGTGAAAAACAACTGACTGTGCAATGCTCTAAAATAAAGTAATAGGAGTATGCCATTGGCTATCTGCTAAACATTTCGATATAGGTCTCCTGAAAACTATGGAAAATATTATTTTGAACGTAGCTGAATATCTGAACACTATTTATATAGACCCGATTTATCTAGCTCCGCACAAGCCCTATATACTCTCTCTATCTTAACTACAAACAGCGTATGCAGAGTAAAAGCAATAAAACACAAGCCGATGAATTTCACCATGACAACGGATCTATTATTTGCTAAATTCCATTCGTGGCTAGTAATATAAATATAAAAGCTTGCTCCGATTAGTTGCCAAGTTACGTAGCTTAGTTAAGACTCACATGAATGCCCATATGGCTGTCAAAAGTTTGTGAGTTATTTACAGATTAGCCCTGAAATTAAGTAGTTCGTGAAGTTTAGACAAACAAGGGAAACAGCTCAGTTCTGCCGTTAAGAAACTGTCTTAAACGTTTTTCATTAAGACAAACTTTAATATTAACAACCGTTACAGTTCAGCTAAGATGCTTAAAATGATTAAATAATAAGTCAACTGTTAAGATTAAAGCATATGTGAGCTTTAATATTTAAAAGTTAAATTACATTTTTAAATATTTATTACTAATAACGTACAAGATAACCTAATTTTAAGGATGAGCTTTGATATTAAAAGCGTTTTTAAATGCCCTTTAATATAATTCGACTTTCCATCTGAGCATTAATAATTAAAAACTCGAAAAGTTAAGCCCTCAATTCCAAAACCGTTACAGTAGAACTCTACTTATTGTTAAAAGCTTTTAAGGCCAGCTTAAGTATTGTAAGCATATACAGCTGAGCTTTAATATTATAAGCTTCAACTCATCAGCTTTAATATTATTAGATTTTACAGCTGGTCTACAAATTTAAGCAACTCTTGAAGATAAGCTTTTATACTGAAAACTAATACAGATTTTCTTTACTAATTACAGTTTCTAAAGCAGAGCTTTAATATTAAATATCTTCGACTCTTTTCCTTAGCTGATTTTCCTACATTTAGGCTTAACCTCAGCTGCTGTCACATCCGCAATTTTGATATCTACATATATATTACGCCAGCTGTTGCCGATTTTCTAGCAATAATTACCCAGTCAAGTATATACACACACACACACACACTGGCAGGCACAATTGTAGTCTCTAATAAATTCATAATTGACAATGCCCCTTCATCTACCCCCAAGTACCATACACATATGACAAATGCTGCGGGGCGGCGCATTTCACGCATAAACAGGCCGCACATCCACTTCCTTCAGCCTTCTCCTGGCCAACATCCTGCCACGTCTGCCGTCGCTGCTTTGCAAATTGCTGCGCTTCCTGCTTCGGCATTGGCAAAAAGGGTTTGTCGCCTGCGAGCAGCGAGTGCGGCTGCACAACCCTTCGGGTAATTGCAAAAACTATTAAGCCAAATTATGGGTTTTAATATACGAGGCGCATAAAATGCCGGCTGCTCGCTGACTTCCAGCGACCCCTCTCTCTCTCTCTCTACCCCCTGCTCGGCACTTGAGTGTTTCAAGTGCCGTGAAAATCAAGCACACGCGAAATTATTATATAGATTTGAAACCCTGCCAACCGCCCGCCTCCCCCCAACCAAAACACACACACACACACACACACACACACTGTTTGTTTGATTGCAAAATGTTTGCTCTGGCGTATGAAACAAAAAAAGGCGCCGCTTCGAATTATATGAAAAATGCAAGGGTAATATTTGTTCGACCTGCGACCGACGTCCCCCACCCCCGCCCACTAACAGATCAAATAAGCTCCCATATCTATATATATAAATGGTAGTTTATGTGCACTTTTTTGTTGCCATTCCTCCCCCGTCAATTGGCGCAGAGTCCAGTGGCATTCCCAGGGCGCTCTTTAAACGTTTCGGCTTTTGGTCCTTCGAGAGACATACACGAAAGAAAAAAAAACTGTTGGCACTACAGAAAGAAAAAAGAAAACGAAAACAACTGCAAATTTTGGCAAATAAAAAAATGAAAAGCCATTTTCACATATACATTGAGGGCAACGTAAATTTTCATCTTTGTTTTTGGTTAGTTAGTTTTATTGTTATTGCTGCTGTTCATTCGGGTCTGGTCTTTGGGGTTTTCAAACGGATGCATAATTGAAGCCCATGTATTTAAGCGGAATTATTGACTGTAAAATGCCTGTGGTGGAAGCGCTGGCTATTTCCACAAACGCTGCGGCCAGGTGTATGCGTCTCTCTGTGTGTGTGTGTGTGTGTGTGTGTGTGTGTGTGTGTGTGTGTGTGTGTGTGTGTGTGTGTGTGTGTGTGTGTGTGTGTGTGTTTTGTAAATCGAGTATTTGTTGTGTGCTTTCTATTTGGCCAATTCCATTTGTTAGCTGTTTACCGATTGATGAGCGATGATGACTGCACCAATGAATCTCAGATAGCTCATAATTGAATGCTATGAAATGTTATACTATACGCAGCCATTGCCAGCCAAAAATATTAAATCTCTCAAATATTGCAGCTATTCAAATATTTAAGCACAGCATATGAAAGCCAGTTTAAACAGAAATTAAAAAAAAATACACAAATACACAAATATTATTGCTTGAAATTTCAACATGCATGTTCAACAACAAAAAAATAAGCATAATGTAAATGAAACATTTAATGTTCAACATGCCAAACTTAAAGTTAAGAGTTGGTTCAAATGAATACTTAGCACATACAACTAAGATTAGTTTAACAATCATGCTTAATTTGCAAGCATTTAATCTTTTAATTTTTTTCATCAAATTAAACGAAATTAAACGAAAAGTTCAAGCCAAGGTAAGGTAGCTACTTAATAACAGGATTAAAGATTAGTTTAACATGCATGTTTTATTTTGAAGCATTCAACACATACAGCTTAACATGTATGTTTAATATTCTGGCATTATTAATAACATTTAATGTAATTGAAGGAAAAGTTAAGTCATGGTAAAAACAAATACAAAAAAACTGTGCTTAAGAATTAAACATGCATGTTAACTTAAAAATAAGTAAATATACTAAATGCAGCTTAACTTTTTGTTTAACATGCATGTTAAATTCACAGAGCTCACGGCATTATCATGTGCATAAAAAATATCGCTTACTTAATTGTTTTTTTTTTTTTTATATCGAATTTATTCTTTTAACTGTAACGTCTGTAATCCCGTCTGCATTGCGGCACGAATACACTCAGCACTCAGATTCGCTCTCGTATATCCCTTATTTTTCACCCCATTTACACTTGCAACAAGCTCAGCGAAAAGATAAATTGCACTGCACTTGGCCATAAATTAAATATACAATATACATTATTTTTTTTTTTTTTTTACTTTTTGTTGTGAATCTAACAGTAATATTCGCTTGAACGCCTTTTAAGAATTCAAATGCCTCGCACAGCTGCAGACCTTTGCCCTGCCCTCTTCGATCTTCCTGTGCCCCTCTCTCTCTCTCTGTCTCTGGCAGAGATTCTCTTCGAACAGACGGCGGCTGTTTGCTGTTCACTGAAATTTTAATAACTCAATTACGCACACATTTGAATTCATTAGCGCCACACGAAATAACAAAAACGACAACAACAACAACAACAGCAGCAGCCAGCGGAGGAAGAGGAGGTTTTAATCGGGGGGTAGCAAAAGCAAATATAATAAAATGTATATAAATCAAATTTAGCGCTGAAATGGCAAAAGGAGTGCGAGGCTTTAATGAAAGCGGGACGAAAGCACGGAGGGACGAGCAGCAGAGAGGGAGACAGAGAGAGAAAGAGAGAGAGAGAGAGAGAGAGAGAGGGATATTGAGAGAAAGGGAGCAACTATCCTGGCATGCTGAACCTTTGTTAGCCCACGGTTTGCGTGTGGACCGAGTACAATTCTCTGCAGGGGTTGCCCTTTCCCACTATTTGGCAGGGGCTGATTTTTGGAAAATTATTGCCTGTGTGTGCCAAAAGCATTTGAAAAACTAATAACCATGTACAGATTTCATAATAAATCAAGTACAGCAACAGCAACAGCAGCAACAACAACAACAACAACAACATAATTATCAACTATGCATAGAACTGAAACAGGAAGCACCCATTTCCTATGCCCAAAAAGAAAGAAGAAAGGCCGTTAAAATTCAACTGCAATGTTCGCGATGCACAATGCCTGTCGCCGTTACATATGTTTCACTGTGGGACAGCAGTCGAGACAATGGGCCAAAACTGCGCCGCACGCAAACGCACAAGCTCTCGGCAAGGCGCAGTATTTGCCAATCGGCTAATAAGGTCAGCTCAGGTCAGGTCAGGCCAGCTCAGGTAGCTGGCAATCTGTTTGAGTTCCGATTAAGACCCATTTCCATTTCCATTTCAATTGCCTAATGCGGCTTAAGCTGCCTCAAACTCAGCAGCTCAAACGTTCGGCTAAGCACTTCCTGCATTGTGTGCATCGACTGAAAGAGATTAACAGAGCCTGCTTGACTGTTGTCCGCGTCTCGGTTGCTTCAATGGATCGCAATCAGCTGCCAACGTCCAGGTTAGCTAATTGACAGCTCAGCCAGTGAATGAGGTCAGCTGGAAATAGTTGGACAGAGGCGAGTGGCGATTCGCTTAGAGAATTGTTGTGCATTCGCGAAAGCAGCGTCGCGGCTTTAGCTTGCGATTCAGTGCTCCTCGTCTTTTTTATGATCAACATTTTTATGCCACATTCATCATGTTACGATCTTCAGATATATTTGAAGGGAAAGGCCGCAGCTTATTAAAATGTTGTACAAATATGCCTACATATTTTTGATGCAGAAATATCTTTAGGATATAAATACTGCGATGATGTCTAGTCAGTTATTTATTTATTTATTTGCTATCACTTTTTTTAAATTTTGCTATAAGCATTATATGTGCCATTACCCAAAGGTAGTTTTTAGAACAAAAACTGTACGGAATAAATACTTTTTTAATAATACTTTTTAATAATTGAATACTTATTTTTCGTTCTCAAAAAAACCTTTGAAGGCAGAGTTGTAAAAATTTATCCAAATTGCAATAAATTTATATTATTTTCTCAAAGGGAAAAACTTGCTATAATTAGTACGAATTTTTAAATGAATATATTTAAAGATTAAAATATGTCAATAGACTTGTGCGCGTTTACCATAATACATAATTCACAGCTTAACATGGCTTAGCCTGTCATCAGAATAGACTAAACACTGGATATCCAACACACCCAGGCAAACAAAGCAGACGCCACAACGCCCCCCCCCCTCCCCTTCCATCAGCACACACACCCCACATCCGCTGCCGTTGTTAATTAATTAAATTTTCGATTTTCCATTTAATTTGCCTACGCCGAGCTGAGCTGAGCTGCACAGCTCGTCTTACTCGCTTGGGCTTGCAATTTATTTAGGCAATTGACCCACACGCATCCACAAATTATACATAAATATGTATGTATGTATATGTATATATGTATGCGAAGATATATGTAAATTGTGAGCTGGCTGGAGCAAAAGTGGCCATTGTGAATGCGGGTGACCGAGCCAAGCAACTGGTTTCCAGTTACCATTGGCAACATCCTAACTAGCGTCATGATGATACGCATTGTTGGATAATTGTAATTGAAGCTGCTTAGCAAAAATGATTATCAATTGCATTTTGCAGCGTTCACATTACAAGCAGAGGGGCGAGCGGGGCAGGGCAGCAAGCACCTGTTTGCATTTTCTTGTGGCAGCTGAAGAGTTTGTACAACGCGCCTGAGGTACAATTTATGCGCGCAGTCTGCGGCGCACAAATCTGACCAAAAAAAAAAAATAAAATAAATGAGAAAAAGTAGCTCTATAAGCCGCCCTGAGGGGCCCTCTTGACGTCTCAATTTCGAAATGGCCAGGCTAATTACATTGGCTGACAGTTGACGCTTTTGTTGTACACTTTCTATGACATAATGCCCGCTCGAATTTCGCCCCCTGCCCTTGGGTCGCTGCCTGACTTTTTACACGCTCACAATGACATAATTAGGGTGAGCTGCAAGCAACCCCCCTCAGCGAGAAGACACACCCCTCACTTGTGTGCACAGCTGGGCAGCTGCCGAGGCAAACCCAATCAAATGTAAAGCAGCATTGCAATTGTTTAAATGAAAACTTTTGCTTTTTAATATAAAATTATGCAAATTTTCCATTGAGCTCGCTGCATTTTCACGCATTAAGCGATGAGCGCGAACTTCATGAAAATCACAAATGCAGGAATCAAAAAAAAAAAGGAAATGAAAAAAAAAAAGGAAACAACAGAACAGAAACCTTTATGACGAATGCGGGCAGCTGCGACTAGCGAATACCCTGGAAACGTGTTTTTACCTTACAATAATTGTCCCTTAGCCTAAAGTTATTTGTAGTAAGCTAATTTCCGCAGCTTCATATCAAAGTTCATGTCAATATAGCAAAAAGTTCCCCAGATAATGAGCAACATAGTAAAAACGAATTTGATACTTAGCCACCACACTACCTTAACAACACGCCTTGTGGTTACAGAGTATTTGAAGAGGGTGCACCTAACATTTATTACAAGTCGCAAGGACCCTGAGGCGAACAACTGCTCAGCTCAGCCCTGCGTTTGGTGCTCTATAAAAAATGCAAGTCAGCAACTGCAGAAATCCACATGGATTTGGCAACGATATTCTCTCAATGCTTAAGCTAAAAGCTTTGCAACGCTGAAATTTTTGCGTTGATTTCTCCAGTGTCGTTGTCATTGCGGGAATTTTTTTTTTTTTGTGGCACTCAAAGGACTCTGCACCACAACCGGAGTTGGGTGAAATGTTCAATAGTCACAGATACTTAGTTCATGAAATATGCAAGGTATTTGCTGTGATTTTATTAGCTAATCGAAACTCTGCACATACGTGTCCTGTATGGGCATGTGTGTGTGTGTGTGTGTAGTGACAAATCACAAATCAAGAATCAATT